TCCAATAAATCGGGGAGTTAGTTTACCTGGTAGGTACGGGAGCCGGCTGGCTAGCCGCTCGGACCGCAGTCTGTGGGACTAGTCAGGTGACGCTGTGAACGGAGAAGCCCAGGATCGGCTGAAGTGGGTGCGGGCCGTTCTGCTGGTCGAAGGCGGGCTGGTTTGACGTCTGTCACGCTTGCGTGAGCGCACGTCAAAGTATACCTGCATCGACGAGTGGCCCTCGGGCTGCTCGTCTGAATGCATCACGCAATTACCTGCTTCACGGGGGTTTCTTAATAGAAAACCAACGCGGCGTTGGTCATTGTCGTGAATATATAAAACAAAGGTAACAACATGTCTATCCGTACTATAATAATATAACCAAATCGAACCTTGTTTCGTAATCTACATCGCTTCCTACTCATAATAGTTGTTATACATAACTTGAATCCGTTTACCTTGCAAACATTCATGTTTAAGGAAAATTTGTGCGTGCCGCCCATAATAAATAAAATGGCCGATACTCTACCTAACTACATTTGACCAATAATCACTGTTAGTTAGTAAGTTGCCTCAAGGTCAATACAATGCGCACTAAAACGCCAAGGGGATTAGTGATAAAGTAATTTGGAATTGAGACCTTGTTAGGAAAAACGAAAACTGTGAAACTGCTATACGCGTATATTAACGTTAGTTAAGTATATGTGAATATTCAAGTTAATCGTAAATTAACAATACATGAGAAAAAAAAAGTATAATGTATTCAGGGTTCATGTATGTATGTAGAATTCTTTTTTCCACCATAACTTTCAATGCCTGGACCGATTTGGATGGTATCGTTAGAATCCTTTCCTGTTAGAACTTCTTTGATTCAATTCTTTCTATAAAAATATTATCGTAATCGACAATGTTCTACGTTCACGTGTGCTACGCTGCAGATCTCTAGACTACGATCATGCTACGAATATGAAATTCCGTAGCTACACGCTACAACAAAACAATATAGGGATTATTACGGGGTACTAAGTAACGAAATTGTATTAAGTCCGTCACTTACATTTATCCTATCAAAAAATAATGGACTCACATTTTTTCCTTTCTTACCTCGTGACGTCACTTCTAAGTAAAAATTGTACTAAGACGTGACGTCATGCGAAATACCAAATAAAATACCCCAGTTGTACGGTTATGTGAATAAATAATAATTAAGTGTCCAATACTTTTTGATGATTTACCTAATGGACGAAGAAAAAAAGTTAGTACTCATTCGTATTCGAAAAAGATTTACCTACTTTAAAAAAAAGGCAAAAGCTGATATAGTCAAAAATCGAGGAAGAGGAACCCTTTGTACAAGGTTTAGCATTTTAAAACTACTGCGTATCTACGGCCGAACAAAAAAAAAGTACTTTTACCATTATTTTATTTTTAATCAGTTCTTTACGATGCTGTAGCGGTAGTGGTTATAATGAACACACTTTGAAAATGTCAACTGTCTACCTATTCTTTTTACAAGGGTAGTACAATGTGATGGACAGCGGATTTTTACAATAATCCTAGTAATATGATAATTGTGATTTTTTTTTATTTCTTTTATTTTGGCAACATTTGGCATTTTGTAAGTTTGTGTGTGTGTGTTTGTGTTTTTTTTTATATATTATAGGGGGCATACGAGTTGTCGGCTCACCTGACACCTGCAACACCAGGAGTATCATAAATACGATATCGGCCTTTAAGGAAGGAGATTTTCAGGTCGTATTGGTCCGGAAACACTGCTGGTGACAATGTGTTCCAAAGTTTTGTCGTACATAGGCAAAAGCGACTCAACCGGTTTTGCTGAAGTTTGGCACACATATAGTTTATTATCTGGATGACACATGGGATACTTACGGTTAAAAACTTAAGGTCCCTGAGGGATTCTCAAAAACAAAAGTTAACGGCAAAAGCGACTCAACCGGTTTGGCTGAAATTTGGCACACATATAGTTTATTATCTGGATGACACGTGGGATACTTACGGTTAAAAACTTAACGTTGTTGAGGGATTCTCAAAAATAAAAGTTAACACGGACGAAGTCACGGGCGGCTGTTAGTAACTTAATAAGGTTCTATTGGCATCCGGCTACGGAATCCTAAAAGCTGTCGTATGCTTCATCTTACGGTTATTTAGGTCAAGTATAGCAAAATGTTATGTTAGCAAATGACTTAACAAGCGTCCATTAATAAAGCAATGACCAGTACCTAGAGTTGAAAAAAAAAACGATTTAATGTTAGCGACACGAAGGCTTAGAGCTGCAGTAGTTAAATTCATATTAAGCTTATTTACTTTCATGTAAATGCAAAGTTTAATCGATTAGGTTCCGAAAGGCTTTTTCATTAAATTAGCCTCATCGTCGCTAGGGTGTAGTTTACTAATGAAATATTATAATTTAATAATTAAATTTCATCTCTTTACTTAAGTTTCACAAAAGTAATAAATTACGAATTTATTGTTACCCAATACAGTCATTGATAGAATGATTTTAAGTAATTTATCTATTGATAACTTGTTAAGGTTTAAAATATATGGTATTACATGATGAAACATCATTAAACTCTTTCGTAGTCGTAAAGAGTAGTTTAAAAAGATAACACAAGAATTTTGCAATAATACATATATGAGGGCTTGTTTGTAACAATCAAATAATCCTTGGATATACCTGCTGTACCTGCCTACTTACAGTTATGAAGTTAATTATTTGAAGAATTCTGCGAGAATATTCAATTAAAACATAGAAGTTCATACTATTTTATATTGTATACATAATATCATTGATTTGATACGGAATTAACGGTAATTTATCTTTCCTACTTGTGACAATAAACGGATGAACGGATCAGAATTAAATTTAACAGTCCTAAATATTTTTTTTTAACAAACCGATAGGGTTAAAGCCTTTATTCAAAGAACTTGCCTCACTGGAATACTTGCCCCTGTTTCGAATAAACTACCCAAGCAGCACAAACTAGCTTTACAAGAGTTGATGGATATCAACAGGTAGTTTGTACTGACAGCTATATAAAGAAATAGATTAGAAAAAGAAATAAATTAAGAGAAAAACTATTCATTTCTTGTCAATTTTTTAAGCTGTCTTGGTAGGCTGTTTATAGTATGGAGTGAGTGCTTATACAGCTTTTATAAGCACGGATTAGTACCAAATTATACAGCCTGCTTCTTTAGATAGGCTGATTTAAGTCAGCACTACAGCTGTATTATAACAGTCTTAAGACTGGTTTAAGGCTGATTAATAAATTTTTAGTCTAAAATGTTATCTTTTACATCTGTTCATTTTTTTTAAATATAAACAGTTTTCTTATTGGCATACATTAAATAAATATTATGTGATTTTACTTTGGTAATTTGATATCAATTCATCTTCCCATCATGTTTATTACATGCTATATCGAATTTTATCGTTGTTTATTTCATTCCGATTGCTATTTAGATTTGGCGATAAAATCGGACCAACATTAACTCATAAATTGCGTCGAACATAACTTTGAAAGTTGACTCACGTAATAAGTAAGGGACTTACTTCATAAAATGTAATCTTAGGACTGATTCTTGATAAAACTTAACAGTCAAGTAACTTTAATCAAAGAAATTGCATGCGTCATACCAAAAATTACATGATTTTGAAAAAAATATCAATGTGTCGGTACAGGTAGCACAGTATTAGGTATAACATAGTTTTAATTCGAGATTTAGCTTCCTCGGATTGAAAAGAAAAATCTTTAACTCCATACTTTACTTATTTTGACTTAAATTAAACCTAATACATTTGTGATGTTAATTTTTGCAAGTTTAAAATATATTATTTTATAGTAATCATGATAAAACAGCAGGACACATTTTAATGCATTTGAAAGTGGCTGTAAAGCATATATAAGAAATAGACTTATAGCATTCATTGCGCATTAAAAACTGAAAATGCCATCTACCAACTAAAATAGGTAATGAGTAAGTAATTGGGGCTCATAAAAACAAATCCAAAAGAAGTGGAGAGACGTGAAAAATATTGAGTTTAACCTACATAGACACGCTAAGCTGCCTGTTGACCGGGCGTCTGGTGTGCGTGGCTTCAGCAGGACCAGCTACTTATTATAAAAATTAAAATTATTAGTTTCTAAATTGTAAAAAATATTATAAAAGTTTTTCATATTCTCGTTGTCGAAAGCGAAGTACACAATAATGTAGTTAATGAACATATAATAAACCAGGATTACAAAATTATAGCTTAGCTCATGTTTTTCAGGAATCGCAATGTAGTGAGTGAGTGTCACTATTGAAGAGGCTCGCGACAAACAGGCTGGTGCAAGTGTAGGTTCTCAGGGAGGCAGCGGTAGCGACATCGCACTACCACAGGTTATCAATAAAACTGGTAGTTTATGAAAACTTTCTAGTATGTGTAGCTTCAAAAGAAGGCATTGAACAATAAAAGGGAAAACATGATGATTGGCCATCATGTAGGATTGAAACTCCAGACTCGATATTTCTAAAATCTCTAATTATTCGGTAATAATAAGGAAAAACAAAAATGTAATTACAAATCCGTGACTTAAAATAAGTGTAACACGTTCTAAAAATAGTACCGATGTCGGCTTTCTTTTAAAATTGCACTTTAAATTTCTCTCTAATCACCCGCATAATTTCCTGGGCCCGACAGTTCAACGCACACGGGTGCGCTGGCCGCTGCCCCGCACGCTGCTTGCCATTCGAACAGCCGTCACTTGGTTCCGTTCACAAAACATAACCGGACGACTACGCCGCGCATTCACAACAAATACCCAACAATCGATATTACCGCATTTCTACGACATAAGGCTTAATTATCAGTTTTCTAAACAAACGCATCCAGATGTGTCTTTTAAAGTTTTAATAACGAAACACCAGGAAAGTGATGTAAAGCGCTTATAAACACACAACGCTGTTTCAAGTCTTTTCCCGCGAATCTTAAGTATGTTTGAAAGTATTTCGTCCTTCTACATATTCCCATAAAGTTGCAATTGAACTGTTGTAATTCGACCGCCTGTGAACTTGTGGACTGTACGATCTGTTAAAATTATTCGTGAACCTTATCAATGACCACGGAGGAACCTATGGCTGCTGCTGTTGTGGTAAGCTGTAAACAATCATACTATTATCTGTGTATGGGAGTAACATTTCTTAAATAAGTATAATGTTATGCCTTGTGCTTATGCCACGCCTGCGCGTGACGAAACTTTAATATTAAAATGCCCTGAAATATAGATTTTGAACTTCGAATTAAGTACGTTCCTTCAGTTGCACATACACAATCTCTTCGTCTTGCGTCTATTGACACGCAGCCCGATAATTCATTACGACACAACTCATTCAAATTTCGAACGCTTATTTTAGCGCAATTGGTACCGAAGCCATCCAAGGCTTCGTCGCGCAGGTGTGGGAGAAGCATTAGACTTATTTACCTATCATAATTATGGTAGGTTTTCTAATAATTTTTCACCCTCTACTATTAGTGAATCATATGCAAACTTCATAAGACGCCAAGGGGAGGTTCGTGAGTCGTGACTAGAATTACTTAGTCATTCAACGAGGGCCAGCTCGTTAGTTCTTATCTCGAAATCTTACGATGACTCGTCGTTAACGAGTAGTGAAATCATTGTATTTCATTACTAAAGTTATCCTTTGTAACTTTGATTTAATAAAAAATAATGCGATGTGAGGTTAAAATTTCTATATAAAAACCTTTTAAAAGCTTTCTTTACTTTAACCTTAACCAAAGTTTTTAAAAGATTTGCGCTCGCAACCACAAATTTTAGCTATTAAGAGAGTGAGCCCCCATGAATGAAAGGGTATACCTATAATCTGACACATTCAAGTACAGACAGGTGTCTAGTATCTGTTTGATTGGGAATGTGTGTGGGGAACGGGTCAAGTGGGCGTGGGTACCGGGCACGGGTGTCCAGTTGGACGGCAGTGGGTCGGCGGAGATGTCGCGTCGGCCGCAGCCGCACCGCACCCGCGCCCGCAATCACCCGCGCGTGCGTCCGCAGGCCGCGCCCGAGCCGTCGCCGCAGCCCGAGCCGCCGCCGCAGCCCGACCAGGACCACCCCCCGTCCGACGAGGAGCGCGAACCGGGTGATTGGCGACCCTCCCGGCCAGCCTCCCCCCCGCAACGACCAGACGACATCTCCGAAGGCTCCGAGATCACCACGCGCCCCGTCAGAGCAGAACCAGCGAGCCGATACGCCAACCTTAACTATTGGAAGGCGAGAAGAGTCACGTTCTATAGAAATGGCGACCCGTTTCATCCGGGCGTCGAGTTCCGGTTCAAACCGGGCCGGGATCTTGCCTCCTTGGATGCTCTGCTGGATCGGCTATCGGAACGGTTGGAACTGCCGAGAGGTGCGCGGTTTATCTTCGGAATGGATGGAGATAGGAAGTACCGGCTCGAGGAGTTGGAGGATGGCGCTTCGTATGTCGTCTCCTCGTACAAAACGTTTAAGGTAAGTGCATAGATACTGTATCGTATTATTATTGTGTTCCTGAACACGTGTTTTGATGCAATTAATTCTGAATTATAATGAAAATTGAGGGAAAATCGCAATTAAAATGTTTTAAAAATAGTCTCTTTCAAAGGCACATCATTGACAATGGTTGGTTTCATGCAATTAAGGATTTTGTGTCCACTTCAGAAAGTAACATTTTCTAAATTATATAGCTACATCTACATTACGCAGATATGTAGCGTTAACAATTCACGCGTCTTTTTTTACTCTATTAAGCAAAATTTATAGAGCTTTAACAAATTTACCAAACAAACACTGTAATGTATAACAATGTATGGCAAACAAGAAGGACCGCCTGCTGATGAGCGGTTACCAAAACCAATAGACGCTAGCGATACCTGAGTTAGCACTAACGCGTGACCTTTCCTATGCTATATTATTATCCCATAGATCCTTGAAGATCTTACTCACCGAAAGGACTACCAAAATGTAGATTTATTTCACTGTGATTTTCTGTAAGGTGTGATAGTTGCAATCCCAAACAGGCGCTTCAATTTGAACGGAAAATCCTCTGTGATGATCCGCTGAAACTTTATTTTTCTTTCAATTATTTCATTATATTCTTTTAAGCTTTGTCTTTTTGGCGCGGAATTTTATAGAAAACGATTTTGTTCTCTTTTAAAGGTTTTAAATTATATCGCGTTATAACTAATCGTGCTCAGCTTAAAAGTAGTTTTTATGTCAAATCAAAGCTAATTAAAAATTATTGGTTAAATGGTCAAATCGTGCACTAGTCTTTTAATTACTTAATGTAAGCTTTTGTATCAAATATTTGGTTTATTATGCAATGAAAAACTTGCGATATCTATACATCTATACTAATATTATAAAGATGAAAGATTTGATAGATTGTTTGTATTTAATTGGCTCCGAAACTACTAGACCGATTGAAAAATTCTTACACATTTAGAATCCTTCATTATCCCTGATGAACATAGGCTATAGAGTATTTTCAAAAAAGGAAGGGTTACGTATGAAAACTTCGATTATGTAACCCAAGTGTGTATAAAATACAAAAAAAAATGGGTGCGTGTACTTATGTAGGCGCGTGAGAAGTTATCCTTCTTTGGCATCGTTTAAAATTAGTTTTTAATTGCATGCAAATAATTAATTACAATAAATTAACAAAAAGTCTGGAAAAGGACACAGTCAATAAAGTTCAGTTTTAATTTGAAAAAATAAATAAATAGTCAAAATATTCAATTAAAATCGCTACTGAATATAATTTATTAGAACATATGTGATTTGCACTTGTATGAAACTCAAACACGTATTCCGAATATACAAACTAGAAACATGTGGATAAATATTATAAATATGAATACCTATAACTGTTACTTTATTACAAAAAATAGAGATGTGGTTTTTGGTTCTACTACACCAATGGTCAAGAGATGGCGCTGTAGTCTCCTGAATCGCGCTTTGGTTCCGTTGTTCCAGATTAATAAATACTTTTGATAGGCCTTCACAATGCAGTCGTTAGCACCCACTAAATAGAGATTCTATTTCTATTTTGTTGGTAGATTTTCTTAATGTGCGGTAAACACAAAAGTAACTCATGAAGTTGGTCCAACTTCATGCTGTTAAAATTTTGTGTTACAGTGATGCGCGCGCATCTTAAAATTTCACTCTCATCATTTTTTCATAACGCGCCTAAAGAATTATAACTTCAAAAAAATAACTTTATATCGCTCGCGCTGCGGAAGTCATTGACAATAGAGCAAAGTGATGTACCAAAGTTTAATAAAGCACTTAATGTCTATATATTTCTAACTATTACAGTTATGTCCCAACTAAAGTTCACATCCGCGTTAATTTGAGGAAAAAGTGAGTCAAACTTAAAAGCTGGGCACAACTTTTAAAGGGGAACAATTCTTTCATACATGATTTATTTGTAACTTTAATCATTTACGCAGCGCACACAACGGAATCTCCCAAATTGAATATTTTTACCCGTTTTTGGAACATTCTACACCGATACTCCGCTCCTACTGGTTGCAGTGTAATATAATGTAGCATGAAGCTTTCCTCAATAAATGCACTATTTAACACAAAATGATTTAAAGAAAAGTTTACTAGAAAAAAATCCACGCGGACCAGGCAGCGGACGGGACCGCCTGGTTCGCGTGGATTTTTTCTAGTAAACTTTTCTTTAGATTTAAACATCTAGCAGTTAATGCTTAAAAAATAAATAAAAAATAACAAAATGATTTATTTTTAATCGGACCATTAGTTCCTGAGATTAGCGCGCGCAACCAAAAAAATATGCATTCGGTGCAACGGGTCCTCATCTACGCAGCAAATTTTTCACTATCAGTTGAATAAATTATAAATTATATCATAGAAATTTTATAATTATATAAAGAAATTCATTGCGTACAATACAAACCTGGGAACAAAAAATATTGTCTACACTACATCTCTACACCGAAGCGAAGCGAGGCCGGGCCACTAGTGTAATAATAAATTTAATTGCTAAACTTTCTAGTTAGCTTTTTTTCGAACAGAAAGAAGACAACTTAATACAATTAAATGTGACATCAAAGCTTTACATTTTCATTTATCGTGAAATTTAAATTAATGTTGTTCTTGTTCTTTAACAACTTTTAAAGCACACCAGACATCTGACACACATCTTGGTGCAATAATCACATTATGATTTGCATGTTTACGATGGACGACAATTCAAAGACACCTGGTCTTTTAATTGTCGTCCACCACGTGAAGGGGTTTAGACGTGTAGGTATACTCGACAACTTACTAGTATCCAATTCTCTTCATCGAATTTGCTCCTTAAGTTAAGCAAGAAAAGATTTAACGTTAGGTGGCAGTTTGACGGTTTGGATAGTGGTTGATTGTACATACATACGAATACGAAATGTGTCGTGTAGAACATAAGACGAGGTCGCGGCCTTGCCTGAGATGTAGGTCGCAGGATAAGGGCCCGCCTCTCTCATACTATACCCCTCACGCACAACACTCGGATATTTGCATTTTGATTGCGCACAAACGAAATACTGTTTTCCTCCACATCGATAAGGCGACTAATTGCAAGAAAATTGTTACCTCTAAACACTGCCTGTTTTCGTTTTTTGGAAAGGAAATTATTTGACCAATTACGTTGATGGAATTCTGTAATTATTCTCGGGAAAGATTGCTCTAATCTCTTGGTATTGCATTGAAATAATTTAAGAGTTTTTGTTTACTTTTGGGAGTGATGCAAATCTACAAACCACCTTGGGATAGTAAATATATGAGAGTTATCACAATGTAAATTGCTTTTTTACGCATTATTTAGGAACTTTAGGAATACAAAAAATTACTGAACTTAAAAGTCAAATCTTTGTTTTATACAATAACTAGCTGACCCAGCGAACTTCGTACCGCCCTAAAAAAAATAGGGGTTGTCCAGCGGACAAAATTGTGAATCTAAACCATTCTCAGATCTCCTTGAACACACACAAAAAATTTCATCAAAATCGGTCCAGTCGTTTAAGAGAAGTTCAGTGACATACACACTCACAGAAGAATTATATATATAAAGATGTTTAACGCAAGTTACGAATACGATATTTAACAAAAGATTTTCTTTGTCAAACCTTTGAAATGTAATATCTCATTTTTGAAATTTGGAGATTTAGTTGGTTTTCCCATTAACACGACGATATGCAATAAACACCAAATTCGATCAAACAAATGAAAAGCAATTTAATAAAAGTCTTAACGAAATCGAATTATATTTTGAACTAATGTACTTCGTATCAGCTAACTTTTGCTGTTTACTATCTCCATCGCAACTTTTCCATATTTTATCACCATTTAAAATCTATCCTGGATCACGACAAACATTTTAAAACAAAAATCAGCTAAATCGGCCCATCCGTTCTCGAGTTTTAGCGAGACGATCGAACAGCAATTGTTTTTTATCTACACAGTCAGGTCATAAGTTTTGTCACACACATAGTAAAAACTTTTAGAATGCTGGCCACAAAAAAGTTTATTGAATTCGAATTTCGAATTGTTCATGAAAATAAAAAATTATACTTTTTAGAATTTTACTCATTTTTAAATATGGAGTGGACGCTTAAAGAAGACCGTGTTGCAGTTATTGCGTTGCATCGTTGCGGTTACGCGCCAATTTAAATTTTTGACATACTGAAAAATTTGAATATAACCAAAAGAATCGTTTATCGTACCATCAAACGATACAATGAAGACTCTAGTGTAGATGACAGGTCCAGAAGTGGTCGCCCTCGGTCTGTAAGGACTCCAGCAGTGATAAAAGCTGTGAAGGCGCGAATTCAAAGAAATCCCAAACATAAGCAGAAACTGTTGGCCCTTCAGATGGGGTTAAGAAGAACCACGGTGAAAAGGGTGTTAAATGAAGACTTGTGAAAAAAATATCGGGAAATTCTTTTTTCGGGTGAAAAATTTTTTACCGTATAAGAGAGCTACAACAAACAAAATGATAAGGTGTACGCACAAACTAGTGAAGAAGCGAGCAACCGTATCCCGCGTGTCCAACGAGGTCATTTTCCATCCTCGCTCATGTTATGGGTGGGAGTTTCTTATTGGGGCTTAACAGAGGTACATTTTTGTGAGAAAGGTGTAAAAACGAATGCAGTTGTGTATCAAAATACAGTCCTGACGAACCTTGTGGAACCTGTTTCTCATACCATGTTCAATAACAGTCACTGGGTATTCCAACAAGATTCGGCGCCAGCTCATAGAGCGAAGAGCACACAAGACTGGCTAGCGGCGCGTGAAATTGACTTCATCCGGCACGAAGACTGGCCTTCCTCGAGTACAGATTTGAGTCCGTTAGATTACAAGATATGGAGGAAAAGGCGTGCTCAAAGTCTCATCCCAATTTGGAGTCACTCAAGACATCCTTGATTACGGCAGCCGCCGATATTGACATGGACCTCGTTCGGCGCTGCGATATACGACTGGCTGCGCAGATTGAATCACGGAGGTCATTTTGAATAAACTTTATTGTCATAAGAA